GAAGCCAGGGCCCCAGGAGAATGGAAAGCGACCAGTCGCTGCTGCGGGTGGAGGGTTACTGTTTCCCACTGTGTGACCCACAGCAGCCCTGCAGGAATGAGATGTGGCCCCATTTTGCAGATGCAGAAACCAAGGCTGAGAGAGGGACGGTGACGGGTACAAAGTCACACAGTTTTATTGCAGTGGAGCAGGATTTGAATTGGGTCTGACCCCTGCTGCCCACATGCTTTCTTCGGAAGGAACGTTAAGCTAACAAATGCTGAGATTTGGGCTGCAGATCTAGCCCATCGTAGGTGCACAATAAACGTGTGTGGAATGCATGAATGAATGAACGGAGTGGGCCAGTTACTTTACACGATCACACATAGTGTGCACTTACACACACAGACCCCAGCTTTAGTGTCCTTATTCAAATCAAATCTTTAGCCCTGGCCGATTTGGCTTAGCGGTTAGAGCATTGGCCCGTGGACCAATGAGTCTCAGGTTCAATTCTGGTCAAGGGCACATACCTCGATTACAATTCGTCCCCAGCCCTGGTTGGGGTCGTGCGGGAGGCAGTCACTCAATGTGTCCCTTTCACATCGATGTTTCTCTTTCTCTCTTTCTCTACCCCTCCCCCCCCATCTCTCTCTGAACAAAGATGGAAAAATGTCCTCCGGTGAGGATAAAAAAAAATCGGGTCTTTACTTGGCTCATTTTTTTTACCTTCTTGGCCCCAGGATGCTTTTGAATTTGTAACTTCAGGAGTGGAGGTGTATTTTTATGAACCCAGATTGTGATACTTTTTAGTAATCTGCATTTCTTTCTTAGCTCATGGTCTAAACTCTTGCTACTCACAGTGCGGCTCCTGGGCTGCGTCAGCATCACCTTGGGTGCTCCCTTGCCCTGCGGACGCGGGGTCTGCACTGTAACAGGCCAATCCCGGGCACATTAGGTTCCAGCTACAATGCTCTGTACCATCCCCTTTCTTCCTGTTCCTTGTTATAATTAAGTACTTTTTATGTAACTTTTGTTTGCCGTCCATCTTCCTGCTACACAGGAGGGCCCATGAGGGCAGGGACTTTGACTACTTGTGCTCAGTCCTGGAGCCCAGTTCCTAGCGTATGCCTGGCACGTGGTAGGCAGTGAATGAATGAATGTGCTCATCCCAGAGAGCCGGCCGTCCACTGAGCTCATTCCTCTCCCTTCCCCCATGGGAAGCTGGGGGGAAGAGGAGGCTTAGTTTTACATTCAGAAGTAAATGGCGGAGGCTCTCTGCCCCTCCGACTTGAGAGCTGCCTGCCCATTTTATGTGCCAGCCACATGCCTCAGACACGCGGTGATGCCTGGGGTAAAGGGATGTGGTGCGTCAAGTCACAGGGCCGTTCTCACCACTGGCCACCTGGACATGAGTCACCACCGATGACTCCTCCATCGACCTCACCCTCACCCATCAGGGCAAGTTCAGGGACACCGACAAGGTTAAGAACGGGAAGCCGTGATCAGTGGGACGTCCCGCTCCATCTACCGGACACCTGGTCCCACAAATATCAAAGGAGCTGCTGCTGAATGGGGTCATGTCCCCCACCCCGGAGATGCATGGGGCTCACTCAGAGGGTGGAGTCAGAGGCTTATCTGCCCCTGTGTTCACAACCCCCTGTCTGTGATGGGGTGATCATGAGCAGTAAGACCACTCCCCCTAGATTGCCAGCATGCTTGCCCCCTGCCACCCGCTGCCAGGGTCTGTAACTCTTGGCATCATGGAGAGACTCATGACCACAGTCCACACTGTCTTCACCCCAGCGGGCAAGCGGGGGCACGATGGCCAGGCTGCTGCCAGGGCACCACGCCGGCCTGCAGCGATGCGGCCAAGGCTCTGAGCACGGTCCTTCCTGCGCTGCACGGGAAGCGCTCGGGCCTGGCTCCCTGGTCTCCCTCCGTGGGTCCGAGGGGCTCTGGCTGCCATCTGGAGAAAGCCAAACAGTACAGTGGCTTCCAAAAGTGGTGAAGCCAGTCCCTGGGCCCTCACTGAGAGACATCCAGGTTGTCACCTGAGACCTGAACAGTGATGCCAACTCCTCCACCTTGCACATCAAGGCTGGCATTGCCCACATGCCCACTTCCTGGTATGCAGATGGTGTGTGGCTGGACCTGCAGGTGGACCTACTGGTCCTCACGACTTCTAAGCACTAACAGCTCTGGACCAGAGGACGGGGAAGCTGTCTGCTCCTGAGAGGCCCTGCCCACCTCTTCTCCCGTCTTCATCCTTCACACCATCCCGGCACAGGCACCTGCGGAAGAGGAGTTTGAGAACCGTGTACTGTCGCATACCATCAGGAGTCTCAATGAGGTCTACACCACCCTTAGCTGGGAGAAAGGAAGAAGGACATTCCATATATAATCCGCTCATTTTCTAGATTCTCAATTCCCCCAAGTGTCTCAGGATGAAAAAGTTAAATACGATACCAGTTTTTTAAATAACAGCAACCAAAAAAATGGATGAAATCCTGTGCTTTCCCAAAATCACACGATCCGCGAAAGGAAAGTCTCTCTGCACTCCCTGAAGGCCTGTGTCCGGCTTGCACAGACTTCGTGGGGTCGCTGGGGGGGGGGGGGGAGGAGGATGCCGGAGGGGAGCATGCGTACCACGGCAGAGCGGTTGGGGGCAAAGGCTCACTTCACATTTATGGGATGCAAGTTAATCCCAGCCCATAGGAACGTTTCCGTAGATTCAGGTTTTTATGAATATTTACATATTTATTAAAGAAAACATATTCAAAATGTTTAATTCAGTAACTCATGTGCTAAACACACGCAAACTGTGAGCTTTCACCAATAACGAGACGCTGGCTGCTTCAGAATGAGACCGTTCATCCTCTGTCCTGGGGGAGGTGAGGACGGGGTGCGGGGGACCCGCCCGGAGCACAAGCCCGGAGCAGGGGATTGGCATTGAGCGAGCGCCTACTGTGCGCCGGGGGCCTCCCTCGGGATTGGACTGTCCCAGCTTTTCTGTTACCTGACACGTGGTGGGAAATCTGTTTTCACACTGCCGTTCAGTACCCACACATACACACAACATACAGCATCTTCTCACGCCTGCGACCGAACAAAAGCTCCCTGTGCTTCCTTCTTACTGTGAGCCACACAGCTGCCCTGGTCTCTTCGGTCCATTCATCCCAGTCGTCCCTCTCTAAATGGACCCCCACCCTCCCCCCAGTGGTTCGGGACTTCAGCAGAATTGAGCTCACCTGGTGACTAGGGCACTGGACCTGGAGGTCACATAGCCCTCGGGTTCCAGTCCCAGTTGCCGTGCCCAGAGGTTGCTTGGCTTGAGCAAGGCACTCCTCCGTCGGTGCCCGGGGGAGAAGGCCATCGCCGGCCTCGGACCGCTGTGAGGACCCGGTGAGGTCACCGTACAGGCGGTGACCGCGGGGCCAGCACGCAGTGAGTTTCTGAGTGGATGACAGCTGCTCTTAGTGTGCTGATCGTCACTGTGGGCAGCAGGGTCCTGCTGGCAAGGGCAGACTCCGGTGCCAGACCACCTGGGTTCAGATCCCAGGTCCACCCCCTAGGACCTGCGGGGCCTCGGGTGGGTAACCTACACTCTGTGCCTCCAGGTCTTCCTCTGTAACGGGAGGAGGTGATAGAACCTGCTCATGGGGTGGTGGTGAGGATTACGTCATGAATCCGGATCAGGTATTTAGAAGAGAGCGTGGCGCATCCCAAGCACTGGGCCGATGACGGATAGCTTTGTCCCCTTCCCACTTAATCCTCGCGCATCTTTGGGAGATAGAGATCGTCCCCCATTTCCCAGGAGGGAGCTGAGACCCAGAGAGTCTAGGTGGCCTGCCCAAAGTCTCTGCTACCAGATGGTGGAGTTGGGATTGCCAGTTGGTCTTCTGAGCCTCCAGCTCAGGGACTCTGGGGACCTTGGAACATTTCTCGGGAAGCCCAAGGACACCCCAGCCACTGCCCTACATGCCAAGGAGTGTGCATTGGCAGGTTGGTGCTATCAACAGACATGTTCTCTGGTATTTTCCAGGGCTCCACAGTGAAGACACTGAGCAGTGCTGTAACAGATGACATAGAAACGAAACCGTTTATAAAACTATCCTCTTGCAAACCTCTCTCCCTGCTTAGTTCTGTCACCTTTGCGTCACCCCTGCGCTATTGTCTTCCACCGGTAGTTGGCTGCTGTGTGCCAGGGACACAGCTGAATCAGGTGCCCAGGCCACTTCCATGTCCCTGCTGCACACCCCAGCTGGAGCCCAGGGGATGACCCAAGCTGTGCCTTCCCCTCAGTGCCGGGCCAGCCCCACCCGGACCCCGTGGACTGCAACTGGGGGACATCAAAGTGATGTCATTGGAAGAAGGGAAATGGATGTTGAGAGGCAGGAAACCAAGTTCAGGTCCCAGTTGTGCCGGTATCTTGTCATCTGACCTGGGCCAATCACTTCTTTCTGTCCCTTTGGCCTCAGTTTCTCCATCTGTACAATGGGTGGGAGGATGGATTCCACTCTGATGTTTAAGGTGCTAGCAGTTCTTTCTCTGGAGTCTTTCAGTGAGTACCTGGAGACAGGGCTCGCCCAGAGAGGGTCTTCAAGAAGGAGAGTGCCACCCTGGCTGGTTTGCTCAGTGGTTAGAGTGTCGACCCGGGGACCGAAGGGTCACCCTCAAGGGCACGTACCTGGGTTGCAGGTTCAATCCCTGGCCCTGGTAAGGGTCGTGAGGGAGGCAACCAATCGCTGTGTCTCTCTCACATCGATGTTTCTCTCTCTCTCTCTCATTCTCTCTCCCTTTCACTCTCCCTAATAATCAATAGAAAAATGTCCTTGGGTGAGGATTAACAAGAAAAACAAAAAGGAGGAGAGAGTTAAGGTGTGCTCCCGGCTGGCTTTCGCAGTTGAGCAGGCCCCAGCAGCAGCTCCCTGAGTCTCTCCGAACAGCGTGGCGGGTGCAGTCCCAGCTCGTGGCACGCCCCTCGGACAGCTGAAGCCCTTCCTCTTTGTCTCTCCCTCCAGGCATCACCGCGCCGGCCCTTCCACGTGTGTCCCAGCTCTTGGCGAGGTGAGTACCCTTGCCCTGGCCCTTTGCCCTGTCTCCTCGCACCATGTGCCTTCTTTCTTGGAGGGCAGATACCTTGAGCAGACCCCTGGAGAGGGGGTACGTGCAAGGCCAGCACTTACTAGCTGAGCGACCTGGAGTCAAGGGCGCCACCTCCCAGGCCTCGGTCTCACCGTCCAGAAGGGGGGACAGCCATGGTACCTGCCCCACGACGTGAGCTGAAAAAGCACTTACAAGGGAGCCTGGAACGTTTTTCAGAATGTTGGCTGTCGTTTTTGTCTTTCTTTGTTCTTTTTTCAGTCTTTCCTTTTTCGTCTCTCCGATGCGTAGACCCCTTCTCAGTTCCCCCCTCCCTCCCTTCTTCCTTGTCTCTCCTCTTTTTTCCTTTTTCCTTTCCTCTTCCTCCTTTCTTTCTTCCTTCTTTCTCTCTCTTCCTCCTTCTCTCTCTGTCCTTCTCTCTTCTCCTCTCTTCTTCCCCTTCCCTCCTCCCTCCGCATCCAAAACAGAAACAGACTCCTAGATACAGAGAACAGACTGACAGCTGTCAGAGGGGAGGGGATTTGGAGGGCTGGGTGATGAAAGTGATGTAATTAAGGGGGGAAAAAACCTCCTAGACACAGACAACAGTATGGTGATTGCCAAAGGGGAAGGGGCGGGGGAGGTAGCAGAGGGTAAAGGGGGATAAATGGTGATGGAAGACTTGACTGGGGTGGTGAGCATCCAATACACTATACAGATGATATACTGCAGAATTGTACACCTGAAACCTATATACTTTTATTAACCAGGATTAACCCCCCAACCCCACCCCAAGAGTTGATACGAGCATATGATGAGATTTCATGTACGAACTGGGCCCAAGTGACACTATTCCCAGCCCGTGGTGAGAGCACGGTGATTGGTAGCGGTCACGTTACAGCTGTCCTGGGGAAGGAGCCCTTTAAATCCTAGCCCATCGTGGAACCTGTCGCTCACCGTGGAGTGCAGAATCCATTCTCTGTTCTCTGCTTGCAAGTAACTGAAATTGACTCCAGCTCATGGAAGCCCAAAAGGACTTTTCTCTTCTTAGGTTCTGTATTCTTTTTTTTACTGAATTTATTGGGGCGGCATTGGTTAATAAAATTATATAGGTTGCAGGTGTATAATTCTATAATACATCATCTATATTGTACTGTGTGTTCACCACCCAAGTGAAGTCTCCTTCTATCACTATTTATCCCCCCTTTCCCCCTCCCCCGCCCCCCTTTCCTTCTGGTAGTCACCATACTGTTGTCTGTGTCTATTTGAGTTTTTTTGTGGGTTTTTTTGCTTAATTCCTTCACCTTTTTCACTCAGCCGCCCAACCTCCTCCCCTCTGATAGCTGTCAGTCTATTCTCTGTATCTGAGTCTGTTTCTATTTTGTTTGTTAGTTTATTTTGTTCATTAGATTCCACGTATAAGTGAAATCATATGGTACTCGTCTCCTCCGACCGGCTTATTTCACTTAGCATAATACTCTCCAGGTCTATCCATGCTGTCGCAAAAGGTGAGGTTTCCTTCTTTTTTACGGCCGATTAGTATTCCATAGTATAAGCGGATCACAGCTTTTGTTCCCACTCATCTAATCATGGGCACTTGGGCTGCTTCCAAATCTTGGGTTTTGTAAATAACACTGCAGTGAGCATAGCGGTACGTATATTCTTTCAAATGAGTGTTTCAGGTTTCTTCAGCATCGCTGGGTCATAAGGCAGTTCCATTTTTAATTTTAGAGGTCACTCTGTACTGCTTTCTACAGTGGCTGCACCAGTCTGCATTCCCACCAGCAGTGCACAGGGATCCCTCTTCTCCACATCCTCACCAGCACTTGTTTGTTGATTCATTGATGATCACCATTCTGACAGGTGTAAGATGATATCTCATTGTGGTTTTAATTTGCATTTCTCTGATGATTAGTGATGTTGAGCATCTTTTCACACGTCTGTTGGCCATCTGTAGGTCCTCTTTGGAGATGTGTCTATTCGGGTTCTTTGCCCATTTTGTAATTGGGTTTTTTGTATTTTGGGTGTTTTGTAAGTTTTTTATACATTTTGGATATTAACCCCTTATCAGATGTTTCATTGGAGAATGTGATCTCCTGTTCAGTAGGTTGTCTTTTCGTTTTGTTGATGATTCCCTTAGCTGTGCAAAAACTTCTTAGTTCATGTAGTCCTATTGTTTATTTTTTCTTTTGTTTCCCTTGCCTGAGGAGATATATCAAAAAAAATATTACTATGAGAAATGTTCAAGATTTTACTGCCTGTTTTCTTCTAGGATTTTTATGGTTTCAAATCTAACATTTAAGTCTTTAATCCATTTTGAATTTATTCTTGTGTATGGTGTAAGAAGGTGGTCTAGTTTCATTTTTGCACATATCTGTTCAAATTTCACAATACCATTTATTAAATAAACTATCTTTACCCTATTGTATGTTCTTGCCTCCTTTGTCAAATATTAATTGACCAAAAACGTGTGGGTTTACTTCTGGGCTCTCTATTCTGTTCCATTGATCTCTGTGTCTGATTTTATGCCAGTACCATGCTGTTTTGATTACTATGGCCTTGTAGTCTAGTTTGATATCAGGTAGCATGATTTCTCTGACCTTGTTTTTCTTTCTCATGATTGCTTTGGTTGTCAGGGGTCTTTTGTGGTTCCATATACATTTTTGGAATATTTGTCTAATTCTGTGAAATACACATTGATAGAAATTGCACTGAATCTATAGATTGTTTGGATGGTATGGACATTTTAATGATTTTAATTCTTCATATCCATGAAAAAAGATTATTTATATCTTTTTCAGTTTCTTTCTTCAGTGTCTTATAATTTTCTGAGTATAGGTCTTTTACATCCTTGGTTAAATTTATCCCTAGGTATTTTTTTTTTATTTGATGTAAGTATAAATGGGATTATTTTCTTAGTTTTTCTTTCTGAAAGTTCATTATTGGTATATAAAAATGCAACTTATTTCTGGATATTTATTTTGTATCCTGCTACTTTACTAAATTCATTTATCCACTCTAGTAGGTTTTTGGTGGAATCTTTAGGATTCTCTATAGACAATATCATGTCATCTGCAAATAATGATAGTTTTACTTCTTCCTTTCCACTTTGGATGCCTTTTATTTCTTCTTCTTGTCTGATTGCTGTGGTTAGGATTTCCAGTAATGTTGAATAAGAGTGATGAAAGCAGACATCCCTGTCTCGTTTCTGATCTTAAGGAAAATGCTTGTAGTTTTGGCCCATTGTCTCTGCCCTGGAAAGAGTAAATACCCAAAGGAACGTGATGATGTTGATACCGGAATAAGGGGGAAGGGATGCTGGGCTGGGCTTGGAGATTTCATCTTTTCTCCTTTCATGCAGACCTTGCCCACGTGTCCTGCCCAGCCAGCCTCCTACGGCCATGGCAGCCTACGGTCAGACACAGTACAGTGCGGGGATCCAGCAGGCCACCCCCTACACCGCCTATCCACCTCCGGCACAAGCCTATGGGATACCTTCTTACAGTGAGTATCAGCCGAAGCCCTTGCTTTCCCCCTGCGGCACCAACATGGTCTTTATTCTGTCCTGTTGCCTCAGTTAAATGCAGAATGATAAGTGACTCCAGCCTAATTTTGTATTGGCATAGAGAAGGACAGACACTTTAAATATGGTTCGAGTTCTAGACTATATCAAGGCCTCTTTTGATCGCAAGAGTAAGAAACTAAACCCAAACTGGCTTAGGGGGAAATGTAAATTTAATCATTTACACACACACTGAGAACTGACATCAGGAATGGCTGGATCCAGGTGCTCAAATGATGTCACACAGAATACATCTCACTCCATGCTCAGATGTTTTCTTCTGAGTTGGCTTTACTCCCATGCAGGTTCTTCCCATGTAGCAGCAGTGAAGGTACCTGTCCACTCTGAGTTTGCATCCTTGCAGCCCAGCACTCCCAATGGAAGGAAAGGAAAGCTCACTTTTCCCAGTAGTTCCACCAGAATCCCATATTGAGCCTCACGGGCCCAAATTGGGTCATACTTAGAGCAAAGCAAGAAGGTGGGGGTAAGAGAGAAAAGGAGGCTGACGCATATGGATTGTATATGAGGGAGGGATGGTCTTAAAGGGAAACACAGTGATGGTATGAGAAGGAGAAACAGATGCTGGGAAGGCAAAAACAACAGAGCTCCAGACCTTGACTCTCAAAACCTTACTTTTAAGAACTGGAGACTCAATGAACCAGGCCCACCAATCACTGCTCACCTGTCTGCATTAGCCAGGATTCTCCTGAAACAGAACCAATGGGATGGAAATAGATAGCTGAGCTAGATGGGTGGATGGATAGACGGATGGATAGATAATAGAAATTGGCTCCCCCGATTATGGAGGCTGAGAAGTCCCAAGATCTGCAGTTGGCGAGCGGGGGACCCGGGAGAGCCGGTGGTGTCGTGCTATGTGTGCACGGTGTAAAGGAAGAGTAATTTCGGTTCCAGCCCCAGGCAGGCCTTTTCGATGAGGGGCTGATTCAGCTGAGGGCTGAGAGATGAACATGTGCAAGCTTAGGAGGAAGAGCGTCTGGGCAGAGGGGACCACAGTGGGGAGGCCTGGGAAGGGAAGGAACTTGGCCAGTCCATGTAGCCCAGTCAACTGGAGCACAGTGGGGGGCAAGGTGGGCAGAGCCCGAGAGGCCTGGGAGGGGTTGGGGGCTTTATTGCAAGTGAGACAGGAACTTTCATTGGTGGGTGGCCAAGCAGAGGGCTGTAAGGTACAATCTGGGTGCTTTCCAGATCACTCTGGCTGCTGTGGGGAGGTTGGATTGCAGGGATGCAGAGGAGAAACAGGAAGGCCACTTGGGAGACTGATACAGCCTGGAGAGGGGTGATGGTGGAGGCCTGGGACAGGACAGTGACATACAGAAATGGGCAGGTTCAAGAGAAGGTCTAGAGGTAGCAGTGACAAGCCCTGTGGGCATTAGGTCAGACATTGGTGACAGTCGGCATGGATGAGCTGCTGCCACCCACAGTTCTCAGTGCTGTGTGTCTACTCGTTCCTTTAACTTCTCCAACCCTACGAGGAAGGTCCCATTGTTCTCCTTTTTTGAGAGATAAACAAGTAGGAGCTCAGAGAGGGCAAATAACTCTCCCAAGGTCACCCAGCTGGTCGGTGGCAGAGGCGGAATTAACCCAGGCAGCCTGGCTCGGAGGTCCAAGCTGAGCACCCAGCTCTGATGCTGGTCTGCGCATTCCATACATCCTGGGGATTACCTGGGACAGACCGTGGCCAACAGGTGTGGGCACCATTTTTAACTTTCTGTCCCTCTTTGCTAGAAGACTCGTGATACAAGTTGCACTGAAGTTACCCGCCTGGCTGACAGCCAAGGAACATGAAGCCGTATTATTTTTCAGCATAAAAGAGAAACCCAGTCCTGATCCCAGACAAAACATGGCATGGGGTGGAAATTAATTCGGTTCAAAGTCATTTTATGGTCTCAGTTCCTTTCAGAGAGTCTGTTCTCTGACAATACAGCCGAGGTGGTAAGAGCACACCCGTCCTGGGCTCAGCCACGCTGCTGCCCCTGGCTGGTCCTAAGACCCTGGGGGTTTTGTCATAGTGCAGTGGAGCCCGGCTGAGTCTGGCCTCCTTGTGGTCGCTGTGAAAAGTCAATGAGATCGTCCGCATAGGGGCCCCACTGCCTTGTTCTAGAAAGGGCTGGAGAGTAAATATTTTCGGCTTTGTAGTCTTGGTCACAACTACTCAACTCTGCCACTGGAGTGTGAAAGCAGACAGACAATATGTAATGAGCGTGTTTGGATTCCAAAAAAGTTGTATTTGCACAAGCAGGCAGTGGGCCAGATTTGGCCCACGGATCATAATTTGCCAACCCCTGACTTATGTGAAGGGCTTAGCTCGCAGGGCCTGGCCCGAGGAAAATGCTCCATCCAGGCAGTAAGAAGCCAGGCCACTCTGCACACCTGGAATGTCCTTGTCACCGAACAATGACAGGTGGGACGGAGAGCCGTGTCCCTGCACAGATGCCTGTGCCTGAGCAAGCAGTGTTTGCTGATTGTCTGGTTAGACCTTGTTGAATCTTGTTAGGAAACTTTTCTCATTGCTCCTTGGCAAAGAGCCGTATTACCTGTGTTTAAATAGTGGCCGGGAAATAACACCACTGAGTATGCCGGAGGCAAGGAGGTAAGGAGTCTTGAGCATTTTTTCTCAATTGGTGATGCAACATTTAAGGACATTTGTAAAAGCGTAAAGAATAACACTACATAGACCCATGAACTGACCACTCCACTTCAAAATAAAGTACAGGGAGGTTCTCTCCCTTTCTTCTCAGCAACACCCACAGCCCTTGATTGGATGCTTATCATTTCTTTGTGTAGAATAGGGACCAGAAAACTTGTTCTGTAAAAAAAAACTTGATGGTGAATTCTGACTTTGCAGGCCATGCAGTATCATAACTACTGAACTCTACACTGGAGCGCGAAAGCACCACAGATAATACACAAATGAATGAATATGTCTGTGTTTCAATAGGATTTAATTTACGAAAACAGGCAAAAGACCACATTTGGCCCATGGGCTGTAGTTCGCAACCCCTGATGTAGAGTATTATTTTGCATGTTTGTGGAGGGAGGGAGGGAGGGAGGGAGGGAAAGAAGGAAGGAAGGAAGGAAGGAAGGAAGGAAGGAAGGAAGGAAGGAAGGAAGGAAGGAAGGAAGGAAGGAGCATATTCTTGCAGCTTTGTCTGTGTCTGTTTACAATGAAAAAATGTGCATAGTCTTTGACTCAGCAATTCCATTCCTCATATCCAAGCTAGATAAACACTCTCACATTGCATGAGGAGACATGTCTATTCCATCATGGGCAGTGATGGTAAGAACATTAGAATCAGGGGACTGGCTGAATAGGCAGTGATATTCCATACTTGGGATTTCCATTTGGCCACTAAGATGAACGAGCACATGGCTGGAGAAGGGTGAGCAAGGGAACTTGGGAAAAGCAAAGGTCAGAGGGGTGAGCAGAGCCCAAGTAGGACCTTGGGGCCCCCCAGGGAATTTGAATTTGACTCCAGGTACATTAGTACACCATTAAACCTTCCTAGTGGGCTCAGCCAAAGAACGTGCCCATAAATATTGCTTGTTGCTGTCACCATTGCTGTTCTGAAGTCTTACACTGCCCTTCGCACAAAACCCTTTCACACCCACTATTGAGAGGCATCGAGAGAAGGAAAGGAAAACCATGACCCCAGAATTAGTGGCCAATTGTGAGACCCCGATCGAGCAGCCTGGCTTTCTGAACCTCAGTTTCCATATCTGCAAGGTGGGAACGCAGTATTACCTGTTCTGCGGGATTGTCGTGCGGGAGACAGAAGCACGTGTTGCTAAGTACCTCACTCAGAGCCTGATCTGTTTATCCTTGCCCCTCCCTCTGCTCTCCCGACAGCCCTGCTGGCGGGCATCAGCACCTTATTTTATGAGGAGCAGAAACTGTCCGAGTCACCAAGGAATGACGCAAACCTCCCAGGGCTCTAGCACAGACCCCTCGACTCCAAATCCATCCTTTTACCCCGCGAAGCATGCTCTTCGTTTATGGGGGTGAACGGGTGAGAAGGAGGGAAACCAATTACAAAACCATCCCTGGAACGAGAAACGTTCTTTTAAAAACACAAAGTTAAATAGTATCAAAATACTATTTGACACCTGTGAGATAGACAAAGATAAGCAAAGCTTATTACATTTTCAATAAAAATACAGTGTGTGGGCTTTGGATAACTGGTCAGCCCCCTCCCTCAGTGCAGTCCCTTCCCCAGCCAGTTGCTCGTGGAATTGGAGCCTGTGCTTCGGAGAAGCATGAGTTTGGCCAAAACAGAGGGAAGATTTGTAACTGTGGCCTTTGGATAGGCAGGTCCCCCCAGGGAACAATTTTTGAAAAAGAATGTGTCTTAGGGTTAAGTGGAATCATCTTTACAGAGGAAGGATGGTTCATTTAACACTTTATCCAAACTCCTGATGAGCTTCAAGCCACACACGGTACTGCCCCGTGCAGTAGGGGGACGTGAACTCGCTGTCGTCAGAGCCAGGCAGGAAGCGTGAAACCGACCCCGTGTGCAAAATATGAGGCCTTCGTGCCCTGCCTTTCCCTTCCCCACTTCTCATAGTGTCCTGGGATTTTTTTTTTTTTTTAAGTACAACTGCAGTGAAAAAAAATAGCACCTTAAAACCAGCCTCAGTGTCTCGGAGACAGCATGGATCCTGGTGACCTGGGAAACACAGACGAGGAAGCCTCTAGGGACCGCTTGTCGTCACCTGGGAACACAGGCGTAACAGCATCCCGTTGCTCAAGAGAAACCATAAGTCCCGATATTTTTTTAATGAAATCTCCTGATTTTTAAACAAAAACAGTTACTTTCAGATCTTCCTTAAAAATATGCAGCAAAGTATGTCTCTAGCCCAACTTTGGCTCACACGCCAGCAGTGTGCATCTCCTCGTGTGGAAGCTGATAAAACCGCAGGCTGTCTTGACTCAGTAGCTCTTGTTTGGGTGACATCCTAATCACATGTCCCTGGTGCTTCTTCTTCCTCCTTCCAAGGCATTAAGACAGAAGACAGCTTGAACCATTCCCCGGGCCAGAGTGGATTCATCAGCTACGGCTCCAGCTTCAGCACCCCACCCGCCGGACAGAGCCCGTACACCTACCAGATGCACGGTCAGTGTGGCACGGCCCCTTCCCTGCCCTCTCCAAGGCATTACCCGCGTCCAGTGTCATTCATTCATTTATTCCGCAGATTTACTGAGTACCTACTATGCGCTAGGATCTATCTCAAGTAGTGGAGTTGCAGTACTGGGCAGAACAGATGCGAGATCTGCCCTCATAGAGACGGACACTAAGCAAAGCAACAAATAAACGGAGTAATTTGGAAGGAGTTGAATGCAATGAAGCAAATAAAGGTGATGTTTGGATAGGGAGCGATGAGCAGTTGCGGGTCAAGAGGGATGGGATGGGTACCTTTAGGTAGAGTCATCAGGAGAAGCTTTTTGAAGAGATGATGTTGGACAGAGACCCAAAGGGTGAGATGGAGCCAGCGATGTGCAGACCTAGGGGAAGGACATTCCAGGCACAGGGGTGAGTGCAAATGCCGTATGGAGGGAAATAAATGTGTCTGAGGCTCAGAAGTAAAGCCAGCAAGGCCAGCGCGGTCAGGGGGCCACAGGAGGAGAGGAAGCAGAGCTGAATCACAGGACCTTGGCCGTTGGCTTGGATCTGAAGTGTGATGAGACAGGAAGTCCACTGTAGACTCGGACAAATGCTGGGTGGTGGGAACACTGGCCAGGCAGGTTATGGGGCTGTTTCAGCAGGAGGCTCGAGGCTGCCTCCCCAGAGAGTGGCCTCAGAAGGGGAGACAGAACTCCAGTGTGTAACTCCCTCCTCAGACACACCAAGACACTGGCCAGCGAGATTCTCCTGTGTCCGCCTCCACCCTTTGCCCCCGCGGCCTCCTCCCTTCTCAGTGCCCCGCTGGGAGCGTGTGAGGGCTGACGTGTGGCGCAGAGGGCTGAGGCAGGGATTCGGGAGATTTCCATCCTGGTCTCTCTTTCTCCTTCATGAAAGCTGGTAAAAACGGCCACCAAGGGTCTGAAAAGTCACGTGCCAACCTGAAGGGGTAATGCCAAGGCGGTGGGCTGATGCGTGCGTGGCTTTTCTCTGAAAGAAAACTGTTTGCGTATATCATCACTTTACCTTCTTAAAAGTGGACGTAAGGGCAGCCTTTCAGGAAAAAACCTTGAGAAAGGACAGCCAGGGGCGTGGAGGAGAAACGGGGCGATGGGCACCGACGCCCCGCACTTGGAAAGTCTGCGTCAGACCGTCAGCTAACAGGGCAGACACTCCACGCCTGGTGTTGCCGGTCACCTCACACAGTCTTCGCGACACTCCCAAGCACTGGTGCTGGAGGTGTTCCCGTTGCCAGGAGAGGGAACAGACGTAGACGGGGTGACTGATCCACAGAGGCAAAGGAAACAGACAGGCGGACCTCTCGGGGGCTGACAGAACCCCAGCCCCCAGCCCCACCCGAAGCCCACGCTTTCACCATGGTGCTGTCCTACCTCCCCTTCCGCTGCTGTCACCTCTCATCCCAGGGGGCCTTTCTCAGTTCCCCCGAAGGATACAAGCTGCCGGGACCCTTCTCTAAGGGGCAGTGAATTGTGGTACGAATGCCAATAACAAAGACTTGGGAAGACGCTGAACGTGAACTTGCATTTGGGCCGATCTCAAGCCAATTTTTCCCAGCTCTGTCGATAGCAACAGAACTTACAGCCTTGGGGCCTCGACAGTGCAGAAGTTGAACAGCACACACAGTCGACCCTGCCCCGTTCTGACACCCCCTCCCCACCCCGCTGTGTAATAAGTGAGCTAAGTTATGTGGAAGTGGCTCCCCATCCACTCACCTTTTATTCTGTATTCATGAGCCCCAGCTCCATGCCTGGCTCCCTTTTAGGCACAGGGGTACGGCGACCAACAAAGACAGTTCTCTCTTGGAGAGAGACAGGCAGTAATCAATTCACAAACAGATGGTTACAGACATTGGTGAAAGACGAAAGCAGGGCAGCGTGATGGGCAGTGAGTTGGGTGGTGGTGACGGACATCACCCAGGTGGTTGGGGAGACCCGAGTGATGAAAACGATCCAACCATGTGAGCAGCTGGAGACAGGACAGCCCAGGCAGAGGGGACAGCACGAGCAAAGGCCCTGAGGCAGGAGCGGGCTCTCATGGTTGAAGGGCTCCCCAGGAGACTGGTAAATCTGGGTGTCGTGAGTAGGGGAAGTGAGATGGGAAGGTGAGGTAGCAACCCTCCTGGGACCAGGAAGTATAGAATAATGCTACTTCTTCTCTGGTCCTTACGGCTCCCAGGGGTGGTGGGCACCGTCAGCTCTGCTTTACAGATGATGAATGAGGCTCAGAGAGGGCCGTTACTTGCCCAAGATCACAGAGCCAATAAGTGTTCCGAGTGGGCTCCAGACTCGGGTTTCTGGAGTTCCAGAGCCTGAGCTGGTCCGTTTCCTGGACTCCTTCAGGACTCCTAGGCTCCGCGTACACACTGCCCCCTTCATCTCCCCAGAGGCCCTGTGACGTAGGTTCTGTCGTGACCCCCATCTCACAGGTGGGGACACTGAGGCGCAAAGTGGGCAAGTGACGGCCAGGGGCACGTGGCTGTGGCAGAGGATTTGAAGCCAGGCATAGCCACCACGCCATCCTGCCCTCCCACTCTGGTAGATCCTTCCAGAAGACGATTCTCCGTGGGTGAGCCCTGGCCTGGACCCCAGCCCCTCACAATGGAAAAACATCCCTTGCTGTGTCTCACCCGCCCCACCACGAGACTGATCCAGGTTATTTTCTTAGTCTGCCAGTGACCAAGATGCCGGAGAGGCGATGGCAGCAGCTGGACTTTGTCCCGATTAAGTGCCCTCAGCCGAATGCTAATGGCCATAAACTGCGCTGAGACAGCCCAGGCACGTTGCAAACCTGACATATTCCTCCTTAAGTATTTTTTTCAAACACAAACACACAGAACGCTCACACACCATGCCCATGTGCTTCCTATTAACTTTTTTTTTTTTTTGCAAGTTGCTCCAGAGGAGAAATAAACTCTCGAACTACACTGTGCACCTATCAGAGGGAAGACGGTGGTGGAGCTTTGTTTCAGGCGACAAGGGAGTGAAGGGGCGACCGGGGCGGACTTCTAGGCCTGACAGCATTGACCTGGAATGAAGTCGGTCCGTGTTCAGAAGCAGAAATGGATCTTTCTTTTCTATGAATTCAAATGATAATGTTGTGGAAGCATAAGAACTAAGTAGCGCCCTGGCCGGTTTGGCTCAGCGGTTAGAGAGTCGGCCTGTGGTACAGAGAGACCCGGGTTCGGTTCCCGCTCAGGGCACGTACCTCGGTTGCAGTTTGTCCCCGGCCCTGGTGGGTCGTGCGGGTGGCAGCCACTCGATGTGTCCCTTCACGTCAATGTTTCTCTCTCTCTCTTCCTCTCTCTCCCTCCCACTCTGTCTGTACAAGAGATGGAAAAATGTCCTCGGGTGAGGATAAAAAAAAAAAAAAGAACCTAAGTAGCCCAGCCGGTGTGGCTCAGTGGGTGAGTGTCGACCCATGCACCAAGAGGTCGCCAGTTCGATTCCCAGTCAGGGCACATGCCTGGGTTGTGGGCCTGATCCCCAGTGGGGGGCATGCAGGAGGCGGCCAATTGATGTTCTCTCTCATTGATGTTTCTATCTCTCTCTCCCTTCCTCTCTCTCTAAAATCAATAAAGAAAAAATAATTATTTTAAAGAATTATTTTTTTTTTTTTTTTTTTTTTTTTTTTTTTTAATCCTCACCCGAGGACACTTTTCCATTTTTTGTTCAGGTTGAGTGGGGGGGAGAGAGAGGAACAGAGAGAGAGAGAGAAACAGATTATTTTAAAATTATAATTTTAAATATTTTTAAGTAGGGACCGTGCCATCATTTTATAGAGGAGTAAACTGAGGCACGCAGCAGAGTGGCTGTGGACGACACAGGGCCAGCATGCGATAGCCCGAGGCCTCCCTGGGTCGTCCACGAACCCTCCGGAGCTCTTGCCCCTCGCGGGCCTACGTGGAGATCTGTGTCCGTTTGGAGACCTCGCCTCTCCAGCAGACGTACAGTAAACGTAAGAGAGAAAAGTTCACAACACTCGCTCAGCCTTTGCATGAGTGTTTATTTTCTTTTTTGAAGTTCACCCAGGGGCTTTCATAGCTGAAATGTGTTTCTTATGGGTTTGCTTTGTTGTTGTTGTTGTTGTTACGTTTTTGGCTTCCCTGCTCCAAGACTGCTGTTCACAGAGTGACCACAAAGATTGGAAAGAGGAGAAGAAAACATCACGAGAGGGTGTTGTGAGAACTCGCTGGAGGTTACCTGGGCTGCGGTCAGTCCCGCTGCGTCCCGCACTCCATGGCATGACTTGGATGAGGCTCTCAGCGTCTCTGTGCCTCAGTTTCCTCACCTGGGGCATTGGCATCACCGCAAGAGAGATGGCCTGATGGGATTGTCAGGGGGGCCACACGGGAAGATTCTCAGGCACGTCAGATGAACACTGGGTTCTTTTCATTCTTCTTTTTGTAACATGGTAGTTATGAGCAGTGACTCTGAAGTCAGACCGAGTTAACCCCCCAGTTCTGCAATGTACCAGCATGTGACATCGAGCCAAGTCTCTTCTTAGTGCCTTCGTTTTCCCCTGTAAAATGGGGACACTGACAGGACCTCCGCGTGGGGTGCTGTGTGATTAAATGACGTAATGGGTGTGGCGCATGAAGAACTGGCACAAACTAAGTGCTCTACAGATACCGTTGTTGTTATTTTATTATTGTTACCCAAATTTCAAGTTTGATGGTGTTTGGTCTTCCCAAACTCACTTCTCTTTCCTGAACTCTCGGTTTCAAGTAGCTGTGGCCAGAGAAAAGAGGAATCCAGATGGGAGCCTGCTGAACCATCCCATCAGCATAAATTCTTTGTTTTAGGGGGACTGAAAAACAGTGAGCCCTCTTCAGTGGAAGTTCCTTTTGTATTTACCAAAGGCCAGGAACTGCTAATGCTGAAGCTCGGACCCCAGAATGAGCCAGAGCAGCATAGAAATCTGTGGTTGGAGAACGTGTAGGAAAATGACAAGTCCAGGGAAAGGGTTTATAAGCC